CAGCCAACACTCTTGGTACTAGCAGTCTGATCACGGATCATTGGATCAGATCATGCAAATAAGAAATGTAGAATGATAATGTGGGGCTGGCCAGTTTGGCCATCCTGTCAGGTTTAAACTGAGCTGGCCCAAAAGCAGAAAACAGGGTGTGTGGGAGGGATTGGAGAGAATTATGTTAAGTGAACCAACTCAGTTCCATAAGGACAAATACTATATAAGACCATTATTTATAAAACAATGAAAGAATTTTTCTTTTACTTTTCAAAGAGAAGAGTGTACTTGGGAGGGGCAGGGAGAAAAGTGCGACAATGAATGAATGGAAATTCAAAGTCTCTGTAAATTTTCATTAAAATTAATAATAAAAAAGAGGGGGGAAGCGGCCATTATTGTAGAACTTGTGTGAGGCTCCAAGGAGGGAGTGTGAGAGCAGAGGGGTGAGGATGGGTGGAGAGAGGGTTCTTAGGTAAAGGAAGTGGGAAAGATCCAGTGTGAAAAACAATGTCTACGACCTTTGTAAGTAAACCGGTATAAAATAAAAATTTTCTTCAAATAAAAAAAAAAAAAAGAATAAACGGGGTGGAGAGAAAGAAGAACCAGAGAGTGCAGTGTGTCCTTTGGACCTGAGATGTATATATGTGCACCAGGGATGAGGAAGCATGTCACTGGACACATGGTGTGAGACAGTGAGATGGCACCAGTCACGATGGAAGCAGTAGTGATGGTCACAGACACAGCCAAGGTTTTAGAGAATCAGAGATGAGTGGAAGCAGATCTGGGGCTCCCTGTCCATAGAGCTAGAGCTGAGCTTACAGCAAGTGGGGTTACATAACTGGCAAATCTAAAGGAGTAAGGCAAAGGCTGTGACTGAGAAACTGAAGACTAGGAAGAGGGGCTTAGCCTCAGGAGAGCTAAAAAGCTTGTAACATTTGCCTCAGCAGGGCAGAGGCTAAGCTGTGAGGCCGAGGGTTAGAGAGAGCCCTGCCGGGGAGCACACCTGAGAAGAGGCTGCCCTGACTGAAGAGCTGTGTCCTGAACTAAAACCTACTACACTTCCCCCAAAACTTCCACAATCATGAGTATCGTCTGTGAGTTCTGTGTGGCCATTGCAATGAATTATGGACCCCAGTAGAGATAGCGAGCACTGTGGCGTCAGAATCATTAGATACACTGGAACACATGGATGGTCAGGGCCATGTCTGACCTCAGTGGAACAGGCTTTGTGCTGTTGATGCTGCTGGTGGGGATTCTTCCCCCATGTGACATTTAGCAGATGTCAGGTGTTGCCACCCTCATATCCACCACACTGTTTTTATGGTTGCCGTCAAAATTGGGTTCATTGTAATGACTGTTATGTGCTGTCGAGTTGCCAGCAACTCAATAGCTCTGAAGCCTGCTCTGTCCTAAGCCAGTCTCACTGACTCCAACACACCTATCCCTGTTTCCACAGTGGCTGTATCAATCTATCTCATCTGGGGTCTTCCCCTCCTGCGCTGTCCCTCCACCCTTCTGAGCATAATGCCCTTCTCCAAAGATTGGTCCCTCCTGGTCACGTGCTCAAAGTATGTGAGATGGAGCTTCAAAATCCTAGCTTCCAAGGAGAAACTTGGTTTCACGCTCTCCAAAACAGAACTATTTGTTTTCTTAGTGGTCCGTGGTACGGTCAAGACTCTTTTCCAGCACCACAACTCAAAGGTATCAATTCTTCGTCTATCATCCTTAGTTATTATCTAGCTCTGTGATGCATAGCAAGTAATTGCGAAGACCATGGACTGGATCAGGGGCATCTTAGTCTCTAGACTGACATTGTTGCTTCTCAGTACTCTGGAAAGGTCCCTGACAGCAAATTTACCTAATGCAATTTGTCTTTTGATTTCCTGACTGCTGGTTCCAAGTGTTTGACTGTGGAGCTGAGCAAGTTGTAACTGTTAACAGCTTCAATCTCTTCTCCATCCATCATGGTGCTGCCAATTGGCCCAGAGGTAAGAATCTTTGTCTTTTTGATGTTGAGCTTCAATCTATATTGAAGTCTACAGTCCTTTACCTTCTGCAGTAAGTGCTTCAGGTCTTCTTCGGTTTCAGCAAGCAAGGTTGTGTCATCCGCATAGCACAGGTCGTTGGTGAGTCTTCCTCTATTCCTGATGTCACATTCCTCCTCATAAAGCCCAGCTTCCCAAATGATCTGTTCTGCATACAGATTGAAAAGGTATGGAGACAGCCATACACAAAAACCAACTCAAGGTGGATCATGGACCTAGGACTAAAACCAAGGACTATAAAATTCATTACAGAAAAGCTAGGAACAACACTAGAAGT